GACCCACTGGCACACTGTTTCCATGCAAATTCTGTTTACTCTTCCTCCTCCCTCGCTCCCCTGTCTGGCTCTCGCCCTCTTTCTCTTCAGCCCGCATCCACCGTCCCCTGTAAAAGCGAGAACGCACGTGTGCACATCCGGTTTCCATCGTTCCCCTTCCTGCCCCGCAGTCCTACGGGTTTGATCTACTCCACATTATCCCTCATTTAGAGTCGATTCCATCATCTTCTGCTCGACTCGGTTCGAGCAAAACAAACTTCGTTAACGATCGCCGAATGCGAACTATTAATTAATCATCGATGTCATTGTAGTCTTTACGAACAGTCCGGTGGATGCGAAATTGAAATCGTGCTTGCTTATAATTTTTTACGTCGATTATAGAGTTCTTAAAAATGAACGGGTCTCGTCGTTTGAAAATTGTCAGGGGGCTGTACGTTGAATTGATAGCGACAGTGGCAAGTCTATTTTTCTACCCACGGAACTGTCCGCCGATTTACGGCCGAGTTCTCCGGTTTTCGTAGCGTTTAAAACGCAACCGTGCAATTTTCTCGCGTGGTCGATGCAGCCCTCTCTCGAAACGTCTTTCGTGCCGACCGTGCGTCGTATCGTTGACTCGAACGGCGGCGTGCGGGGGTTGAAATGGCATGGTTAGGACAGGGACGGGGGGGCCCGGCGCGCGGGGTGGCGTCGGGACGGGAACAAGACGCCGCGCCGGGCCACGTTAGGTACCGTTTCGGCAGGGTTGCGTGAGAGCCCGACGAGGCCTCTGCGTGCGTCGCTCCGACGCGAGGTGGTTGAACCTCCACAAAAAGCTGGAAGCTCAAAGCTGCTCGGTGGTGCGGCCGACGATGCGATGGTGGTAGGACGGAAACGGGAAGAGAGTAGAGAGAGAGAAAGAGAAAGAGAGCGAGAACGAGAGGCCGGAAAGGCCGAGGGTTGGAGGCGGTGGTGGCAAAAGGAAAGAGGAAGGCTGACGACTTTCTATCTTTCTTCGTTCGCGTTTCTACCTCTTTCCGTCCCGACCTCCCCCGCCTCGCCTCTGTCCCTTCCCTCTTATTCTTCTTCTTTTTGTCTCTCTTTCGCTGAACCTGACGGTAGTGCCGGGTCATAGAAGTGGCTAGGATCTAACCTCATGGGACGGAGGATGAGGGTTTTGTGCGGTGCTTTCTACGTGCACACACGCCCACGCACGTACATCGTACGTACGTACGTACTCAGTGATGTAACAACCTCGACAATTTTTGGGTGTCCTCTCTTAAACACGAATTCCACGAAAAATAGCTGGCTCCAAAACTTATTACGTTCCTACCGCTTTTACCTGCCCCAACGTTCATTATTACATTTAAAAAAAAAAAAAACCGCTTGTTCCTGTTTTTTATATCTACAGTCTTGATTATCCTTCCGATGCAATTTAATTATTCTTCTCGAGCAGTAAAAATATACGAGATGTCTATGTAGCCCGAGTGTACACTTTCAATAACTCGATTTTCATCAATTGTATGGTTACCCTCGAGTTACGGCATTGTACTCAAGGAACCCGGACTGCCACTGTGGAGCCGTGTACGTGCATAACTGTACACAAGGGAGGGTTACGGTTCTCGTTCCTTTTTCCCAGTGTCCTTACGAAAAGGACATCTTTCTCTTTGTCGATGAAACCGAGAAACCCCGCTCCGTTCCCAACGTGAGAAACGAGCCGGGAGAAGAAGTAAGGAGGAAGAGAAGGAAAAAAATTGCGAGCTGGGTTAAAGGGGAGCTTGGCGAACCCGGTTCGTCGTTCTCATTATCGTCTCGACTTCGATTGTTCCGGCTCGCCGGGTACAGGTGCAACCAGGTACACGCTCTATTCCGTTTCCGTTCGATTCTTCCAGATCTATCGCGGCGAAGAAAGCGTATATACACAAACGTGCAGTAGCTATGTACAAAAAGAACTGACACATCGTTTACGTCGGTATTGAGACGCTTGGGATTAAAGTTAGTTTCTTCAATCAAAAATTCATCTACAAACGTGAACCGGTTCATCTACTAAAATATTGAAAGTTCGCATAAAAGGGGTACACTTTTCATGGTTGATTATGACGATTACGCTATGCGTCTATCATTCAGTGTTCACCTCCTTCGCTCGATCCGGCCTGTAACCTGGTAAAGCGCAGGCAAACTGCCAACGCAGTTCGCTCGAAACAACGACCGAGCAATGCTAGCCCTCTTTCCATGACTCTTTAGCCACCTCGCATTCAGCACACAGACGCGCTCGCGATTCTATATTAGCGTCGTACGGGCGTAAAGTGCAAAGGGGTGATCGTTACGTCGGTAACGACACGTGACGGTCTTTTTTAGAACGAGGCCACTAGATGTTCCGTGCTCCTCCTTACTTATCCAGTCGAGCAGTTTCACGCAGCCACACGTATTCACTTACATCGACGTCTATAACGCCGAGAGCCGTCGTTTGAAAATTATTCAAACGGCCGATCTGGTTCAATAGGAGAACCTAATGACACGGCACGATCCTCGTTACAATTGCTAACGTCCCGTGTCCCACTATAAATTCATACGTTCTTGAAATATTTTCGTGTCACGAGGCATCTTCGAGCCGTTTTTCCTCTTAAAATTATTATATCGAGCGTTGAACGGACAGGGGAAGGGGGGGGAGGATGGTCGGCCGGGACGGGGGATCAAAATTATGCATGGCACGGTCGTAGACGGTGTACGCCCACGTTTAAGTCGGTACGGTTCCATCTGCCATTTCAAGGTTGAAAGTTCTTCCGCGTGTGAATAAATGAAAAGCGTTCTCCCTGGACACGGTGCACCGAAACGACACTGACTTCCGTATTTATAAACTAAAAGCGTACACGTAGTAGGCCAGCCGGTGCTCGGCTAAAGAAATTCGCGACCGAAACTGCGTTACGAATGTACAATCTAATTTTCATTAGCCACTTTGAAACAAACAAAAAAAAAACCCAGCCGGGTCTCGAAAAACGAAGCGATCAGCTAAACGCTTGACAGAAATACTATTTTGTATATCCAACGCTCGTCAGTTTATCGAAAATAAATCTTGTGTGAAAACGTTGAATAATATATTCGTAAAACTACTCGGATCCTTTCACGTTGTATAACCGTGTACACGCGTGTAGCTTGTAGCTCGCGGAAAGAAACTTCCGCCTACCGTTTCGTCGTTGGTGGTTCTCCCACACGTGAATAAGTGAACAGCGTAGCGCTGCGTGTCCAACACATGCCTATTTACGCAGAGCATACACACGGACGGGTCGTCGGGCGTTTATGTGTGTCAGCGGTCGAGAGAGAGACCGAGTCTAGGCTCATTAATAATGGAGACAATTCTATTACAATGCGAAAAAGGGGAGAAACGGCACGGCCTGTGCGGTTAACACGGCGATGTCTACCGTGTGCGTGGCCGTGTGAATATCTAACTAGCTGTGTGAACTCGAGCACCCGGATGCGACCCTCGAATCGTTCCAATGAAACTGATCGATCGCGCAGGATCACGTTTTTAAGGACGGACCTGACCAAGATACTTATCGAGCCGCGAGCTCAACGGCCAGTGATCAGACAGGTGAATGACAACAGTTATTAATAAGAAGCAATTAAGCGGCGGGGTAATTCAACGGTGCGTTCGGTTTTTTACGTGAAAAGCTTTTAACGCTAATGCACTAAATGCATAATTAAAACGAATCAGCTATCATTAACTTTCTAAAACGGTGCGGCTCGCCGCGCAGCCCGATTCGTGACTTCGCGCTCTCCGGCAACAATTTTTCAACGGGCGCAAGCGAGGAAAAAGAAACCGGGCACAATTATGAAGATGAAGGGACTCGATCGGTGAGAGGAGCTCTGTGCGTACACGATACGCAATCACGGGTATACCTGTTTATGGGAGCCTCACGGGGTTAAGGAAGGTTAGAACCCGGGCCGGTCAAGACGAGATAATTGTGTAATGCGGCCAATTTGGAGAAACCTTTTTGCCTTGCGAATAAACCTGTGCGTACAGTCCCTCGCGAAACTACGTTTTTTATCATTCAGTGCACAGTTCTGTTATTCTAATGAAACGAAAAAAATCAAATGTATGATTCTGAATTGTATTCTGATTTAAAAAACCAGCAGATACTTGAGAATCTCATATCTGTACAATGCACACGGCGATGCCTAATTTATATTTCGCGCTGTAATCATCATACGTCTACTCGTCTTGCACTTTTATATATTCGTGGATTATTTATGGATTTCGTGAGTTCTGATACTTTCACGAACGACTGTACGTAGGTACAACTCGCGCGGGAGCTATCATCTTCTACGTAAAGCAGCGTAAGCACTTGTACGCGCCGTGTTCATAAGATAATTGCGTAATCTACTTGTGCGCCACAATCAACCCCCATGGACGGCGTCTCTTCTCCCCGACACCCCGGCGTCCCCTGTTTTCCTCATGTACGCGTATACATTGACCAGTTGCACGGAAATACACCCGGTATCGCGTTCCAAACTGATAACCAGAATTTACCGCGTCTTCATTAAATACAGTAGCCATAAGAAGCCCACGGCTACGTCCGAAACACGTTGCTAAAAAACGAACTCTGTTCTATTATACGCATTGTACGCTCGATTGGACGACAGTAAAAAATGTTCAAGCTAGCTTGCCTTTTACGTTGATACGAATTACGAACAAGTGTGGTTTATTAATACCGAAGAGAGTTGAGAGTCATTCGGCACGTTTCGAGGTCGCCGAGAGTATTGCACATCGGCGAGAACCGCGTGAAGAAATCAATTGGTCGCGCCTACTCGCGATCGGCCGATCCACTCAAGTGCGTTCGACGATTTCGACACGGGTATCTCCTGCGTACATTTGAATCATGAGAAACTCGAAAAGAAAAAAGACCGAGACATGATTTATCTTTCTTATGTACAATAGAAAGAATTCCCTATTTTTAAATTAATTATTGTTTAACCGAGTCGCCTCGGTTTTGATTCGTCGAGATGCTGACTGATTCTTATTCCAGCGGTCTATGTCTGGATCCGATCCCGGCGCCGTGGAAAGAGTTTCGAGGACACGCAGGACGTCTTGCGAAGCGCATCGAAGATGAAGATAGGGAATCAGAGGAGGCTCTCGGCTGGGGAGGCTGATGACGCCGGCCGGACCCGGACCTAGGTGCCTAGGTGGCGTAACGGAAGAGAAGTGGAAGTCTCTGTGGAAGGAGGCGCGCACAGACGGTGGTATCGACCGGTCCGGAATCCGGAGTCCGGACCTGCCTCACGCCACTCACTCTAACCCTAACCCTAACCTAACGCCGCCACATCGCCACCCGACCACCATCCACAGTGTCCCACTACCACACTGCACCGTCTCTTCGCCTCGCCTCGCTTCCTTTTCTTATTCTTCCGTTACAACGTCCACGCTCATAGCTCTTATTGTTGCCGTACTCCTAAGAGGTCGTACCACTGCTGCGACCGCACAGAGAACCGGCTAATTCCACGTGAAGAATGAACCTATTTTTTACAAGACCGATCATGCAAATTCAGAGATTCCAAACGGAAATCTGGAAACGTATTTCCAGACCTTTTTTTTTTTATGCACCACGAAGACAGAGTTTGTATATGGACAATGGGGAAACATGAAAATGTTTATTGTAGCAATGTATCTTATCGTATGAATCCGTTTCACGATCGTCGGTAAATAACTGGGCTATTTGCAGCCCGGTAGTGCTATCATAGACAATTACCAAAGCGGGCCGCGATTAAATATCAACGCTATCCCCCGACAAAACCGCGCGCGTTACACGCCCGTCGAAAGGTAAACGATATCGTAGATAACAGTTACGCGTAAACTTCATTTAAATATTGACATCGTTAGCAACAATGAGAGGGCTCTATGAGGTCGCGTTAAACATTTCGACGACGGTGTAAATAGCGAGCCGCGCGTCGATTCGAATTTCAATCGATTAATGATACATCCGCTAGCAAAAAGAGGTTCCGTATAAACGACTGCCGATTTCCATTTATTAAACGACAAAAGATAAACACACACGTTGCCCACTGATTTTTCACGCTGAATACCGCCGGTTCCGTTGATAAAGAATATTTATCGATAAGAATTATCCATTCGTCGTTGGGCATTTTCGTGGTACGATACGAAACGTTTATTTACACTTGTGTAACAGTATCTGTTACTTTGACTCGTTCTAATCCTCGCAACACCGTGTTAATTGCGGGCTAAGCGTGTTACCCATTGTTACAAGTTCAACCGCGTGCTTATGCGAATACGTAACAAACATAATTATTATCGCAGGCCTGTTCACACGATTTTGTATTATAATTATAAATTCGTCATGAATCTGTGAATCCTTGTCCAAGTTTTTAAACAATCCGAAACGACGCACGCCGGACATCCTTGATGTGACAAAACGAAGGAGAAGGGAATAAAAATGGGACAAGGCCAGCGTGGGAGAGGTCAGGAATGCGAATAATTTCTGGTAAACAGAAACATTTCTCGGCCAGCTGTCGTGATATAAAACCAGTTTGGTTATACGAGAGGGTGAAGTAGCGGCCGTTATCCGGGGTGGCGACGGTCGTCAAATCTCGGTAAGTGCACTCGTAGGAGGCCAGTTTCGGTTTCCCGTGGGTTCGGTGCGGGCGCGCGTGAGTTTAAAGGGAGCGAAATATCGGCGGCAACAAGGCAGTTAACGGTGCAGCGGCCGTCGTAAAGAGCGAGGGTAGGTAAAGAGACGCAGTAAAAGGGTGAGCTCGGGCGAGGATGCAGGAAGGTGCAGGCAGGTAAATTCCCATCCCTCGATAGTCTGTCGTTAAACAGAACCCCACCGCGTCCTCCCCCCGCGATACGGGGCCACAGAGTTGCGACGCAGTCTCTCCCCAGTCTAGACGCATTCTCTCTCTCTCACTCTGTCAGCTCACCGACACGCATTCATGGTCGTTCCGCCCTTACTCACACCGACGAAAATTTACTGCTCTATCCTATCCCTCCCTTCCTCTTTCTTTTCCGTCCCTCCTTTCGCTGTTAATGCCGCGCCGCGACTCTCGAACACGTACACACGCATAAAGATACGGCCCGTAAACCCCAACAAGCTCGAAGACTGCGGATTCGATTGTGTGCCGGCACACACCGACGCGCGGAACAAACCGATTACCACCACCCGCGGGATAACTTCTACGAGCATAATGAAAAGCAGATTAAAAACTTTCGCTCGAGTATGGCCGAGAACGACGCGAAACGATCGGGTAGGGTGAGAGCTCCCGCGGTCTGCTTTTCCACGTATACTATACTACTTCTTCTTCTTCTTCTTCTTCTTCTTCTTCTCCTCCTCCGTTGCCCGATACTGGTTAAGAGTTATCGAGTTGAGATAGGTCAGCTTTATGTACTACTTGCATCCTCAGCCGCTTGTTTGTCCTATAATCTGGCTCGGAATCCCTTTTAGGGTCATTGTGCGTACACGCAACGATCACGAGTACGTTCGTTCTTGATGAAACTCTCTCGAGATATTCCATTTGGATTATTTTAATTGGAAATGTATTAAGGAAAATTGACAGACACTCCGGATACTAAATTACTCACGTATTTCCATTTATGTCTATGTATAAAGGGCTTATCATGAAAATCGTTCGAGTGTTCTTTTCTCGTCGCGCCGCTACTGGCAGCGAGTATATTCTTTTGTGATTTTGTAGTATGGCATCGTTCATAGGTAGACGGGGGCGGAACCGGTAGCTAGAGGCCAGCGATATTTGGCATATCAATAGCGGATGGCGGCCACTCGGCCCGGTTCATTTGAATTTCAAAACCTTAAATACGAGCCTGTATGTATAAGATAAAACAGCCGATATACTGTTTTAATAAAGCCCATAGCTACCGTGTAATGTGCATGCCGGGCTGGAACCGTTTCCAGCTGGACGTAAGCAGACCGGCATCGAAGTTGACAATAAAAAATCACCCTTCGACCCTTTTTTCTCTCTACCCCGCATTTGCATCGAGTGCTACTTGACGATTTATCTTCCCTAAGCCAACGTCCAACCACTGCACTCATCGGATGGGACTTTTCTATCGCGACGACTCCGAAAGTTTAATCGCAGAATTAATTTAGAAATTCACAACTTTCCCTGTACTTCGTTTTCCGCGTAAAATTCCGCTTCATTTAAAAAAATTACACGATTTTAAACGTCAACGTGCAGAATTTCGTTCTTCTGTTTTTCGAAATCCGGCGAAGTTAGGGGTTAAGAAAAGCCAGAGGGAAACGTTGCTCCAAGACAATTTTCCCGCTACGCGTAGCATCCCTTCCGGCTGGCGGGCGTAGCAACGAAAATACCTACGAGAATCGGGCACGAATTTCGCGCGATCCGTACCGAAATCCGAACGGACAAAAGGTATCCGTTGCCGTTGATTGATCGGGATACTTTCATCGGGGGATCCGATCTTTCGGACACGTAGCCGCCTAACATCCCCTGCAGACCGAATTTTCCTTCTTACGTGCGCCGGAACGACGCACGTGCATCACCGCGTCGCAGGGTGCGCACAGACACAGGCAACTCGGCACATGCGTCACACACACACACACACACATACACACGCGTGCGGGATCTTGCAAGAACGGAAAATCGAGAGAGGAAGGAACGAGGGTGAACGAGATCAGAGGGAGAGAGAGAGGGCGGCACGCAGACACTCGCGAAATTACGACCTTCGCTTACGTCTGGATACATCGCTCGAGCGAACGAGCTAGCGCCAGCGGACGACCAGGGTTTATAGGGCTGGCGGAGCCGCGGCGAGGGGCAGGAGGTAAGGGCGGACAAGTGGCAAGAGGAAGACGGCGTGAGAGAAGCGAGCCGCGGGTGCGACGGAGACGGTAACGAGAAAGAGGAACGAGAGAAGGGGACGAGGGCTGGTCGGTGGACGGTAGGATGGGTTAGAGCAGGATGGTGGTTACGGAGACGCACACATCGGCGTGGTTTTACTGTTTCGGAAGTCTAGCCGCCCCCAGGCCATCCACCCCCCTTTCCGGCAACGCGGGGGGGACCTACCATCCACCCCGACGACCACCCTTCATCCTCTCATGGGGGTGGACCACCCGCTTATACGACCTTCCAGCCCCTTTGGCCAGACCGGCACACACCGAAGTCGTAAACCTGCACCTTGCTCTCTACCTCTGCCTCTCTGTTTGTCTCGTTCGCTTGCCACCACCCCCCGGACACCCTCCTCCCCTCAACTCTTGCTTTTGCTCTCTGTCCCCCGGCTCTCGTTTCCACCCTCGCCACCCTTGTCCGACCAGGCTGCCTGCGCTCCCCGCCACCCCGCGTGCCGGGTACCTCGCGCGTGGATACCTCGAATGCACCAGCTCTTTCTCATCGTCTGTCTGACACGCACGCACGCTATCGCTACCGCCGCGCTAGATGGATACAGATATGTACACACGTATTACACAGCCGCCCCGAGTCGCATAGGTGTTCGTGATCACCTTCGCTCGAACGTGTCACCGTCCGGCTTGTAATCTAAACTTTAATAACTAAATAAGATAATACGTTCTGTTTCCTCGAGCAGCACGCATATTTAAATAGTTCCACCGCGATACGCCTAAAAATTTCATCGTCGAGTAAAATCCCAATTTTTCACGATCGCACGGTCTTAAAGTTTACTAGACACAAGTTTATCCCCCCGGCCGCGCGGAGCAACTGAAATTCAGTTCGCGCCGACGTAGCTTAGTTTATAGCGGGATTTTAGATGCGTTTTCATAGAATTAATACAGAGTTTAGTTTTGCGACCATAAACTAGATCCAGACGGCAGTAAAGCGAACGAAATGGCCGGGGACAGCGCTGTCTCGCCGCGGGCCATTAATGGATCATGAGACGCGGCTAACTATAAATTGATAAGAGAACCTGACCTGCTCCATTAAGACCATAAACTTCCCTAGACTCCTACCGTCTTACCCATGTTTTTTCTACCTCCTTTTTTTACTCCTCCGCCTTTTTCTCGTGTCGTCGTGCCGCTTAAAAGTTACCGGCTGCGAAGTCGCTCCTTTGACAAAAAGATTGAAACCGGGCCACGTTTATTAGTAGTTTTACTCGGTTTTAAATTCGAGTTCATGCGCCTCGGGATCTGCTGTTGTTCTTGTTTGATAAAATAAGATGCAACGAAGACACGAGGGGAAAATAAATTCAATCGCCGTGTCCTTGGCGATTTTTCTTCGTCGCTTCGCGCCGAGTTAATTCTAATATAAAACAGTTGGTTCGCCGTGTACGCGGATCCGTCGCATAAATTCGGCAATGGAAGTATTCGGGGCATCTCTCCGATGCGAATCCAGTGGATTCTGCGGGCAGAGTGGCGGCGTCTCGTTAATACGGAGCCCAGAAGATGATAAACGAGGCCAACTTATATCAGTAGTCTCTGCTCTACGGTCACGACCAAAAAGTTTCGCCGGCCAAAGTGGCGGCGCCGCGCAAAGTCGGAATGAGATGGGGGTGGCGGCCCCGGACAAACGGAAGTGGCAAAAGGAGAACGAGGAGGCGAGGGCGGGTCGGTAAGCCGGTTTTCGACATTGACTAAACGAGATACGGAGACATGGCGTCCGAAGGAAGGATGGTAAGTACATCGACCACCCCCGTCCCATCCCTTACGAAGTACACTCCGCCTCATAAAGCGTTCACCGCTGCTAATATCTCCATGACGATTCATTTAACTACTTCGAACAATTCTATTATCGTATATTTGCAGTAACGTCCTCAGATTTTGCTTCACATCGCTTTTGAATATTTTAAAATTTATTTCCATAACATTGGCACAATAAATATTTAATTGGCAAACGTTTGCAAATATTGAAACATGACAGAGAGATCAATAATATAATTATTACTAATTATCTTGGATTTTAAATATTCGTTTTTCGTTGGGTATGCTGGACGGGACTGTACCTCGTTTAGGTACCCGCGTCAACCCTCTTTTAACTTCCCCTTGAATTCTCCTCCCGTTCGCCAGGACCCGTAGGCATGCAGCGACACCCTCTGCTCCAGGCTTCAAAGGGCACTAGCTGGTACTAGGAAGGAGCCCTTCTTCCTCTGATGCCACCCCTTGGACGTTATACACACTCTCTCTCTTTCTCTCTTCCCTTCTACTTCTAGAACCTTTCAACCGCCTCCGTCGTCCCTTTCTCAAACCCCATTGGCAATCATACTGCCATGGTATCTCCGTTGGAAAATGGCTACCTGACCTTCTGGCTTCTGGGACGTCTATCTGATAGTCAAATGGACAAAGGTAGAAATTTGTGTCGCGAGAAACTAGCGCATTCCGTGACTGATCGCTCGCCAAATTGCTCTTGGACGATTGTTCCGAGTGATAGATCCAGTGCCCACGTGTAGTATCAAACACTCGTTAATTTCAAGCCAGTGGAACTGATACACGTAATCAAATACTAATAAAATCAATTGTTCACTCGATTTATTTGATGATCCAACGATATTCAAATCCCAAACAATTCCTAATAAAATCTCCTAGCCTTGAACTCTCAAAAATCAAAAGTTCAAAATTGATTTTTCTATTTGGCTCGCAGTGCGGATAACGCGTGGCAAACCGCGCGAGGACGATTTTCTCGCGACCTCGATTCCAGCCTCGCCTCATCGTCGCCCTCATCGCCGACTTTACACGGTGGATGGGGGTTCCTCGTCGCCGGCATTTCGTGCCGTGAAAAAGAAATTTGTGGCATAATTTCGAATTTCTTGGCGCGACGGGTGAACGTCAGCATGTAACTTGCTTGCGATGCGTGACATGTGTAATAGGTACATTATAAGTGAACGTCAATCGTATCCAGCATAAATAAAAATCTTTACTTAAATGTCCACCATACGGTTTATTTGACGTTTAATATTAATAAAATTCTGCACAGTCTCATCATCATCATCTTTGAAGATGAAAGAACTTGAATTTTCTATTTCTCGGAACGACGATGCCCCAGCGTTAACGAATTTGTCCGAATGAACGTTTTTGATTGAATTGCAGATGTAATCAACCTTCGAATCGGATCACAGCCACTGGATGCATTCTGATAAATGTGATTGAATCAAAGCAGCGTGAATTAATGCAGCGTGAGTAACGCGAAGTTGAGATGGTAAAGTTGTACGCCAGGTATAAAGAACAGAAGCACAGAGGTAATTGAATTTTCCTATTTTCCCCGACTTACATCCTGCTCCTCATTCCCCTCTTTCGGGGAAACTCAATTATAGCGGCTAATTGATCGTGCCCTGCAATCCTTCCTGTTGGTTTAATTTTAATTGTTCGCTTATTGCTTTCATCTAGTTAGTTCAATTGGTGTAAATTATTTGCGTGCCAACAAATGATAGCGGTGGAGGGAACGGAGTGGTGGTAACATTAAAATGTCGTTGCAGTAGCAGCCGCGGGTTCCCTCTAATTGTACGCCTTAAATCATTTAGACTCCTCTTCTTATCGGCTCATTGTTTCAAGATCACACAAATTAGTATGAATCATATTACTGCATGTTTCATGTTCTCGTAATGGTAAACTCTATAAAGGTTTCATCCGAGATTTTCATGAAGCGTGAGGAGTACTTCGAGAAGTAGGAGATGATGTAACGAAACAGTGTCATATCTTGGCGATCGAATTACATAAGACGAATCCCGAGTTCGACGGTGCTATTAATTTTTTTAGGAAATTTCTTGTAACATGTTTTCGCGGATCAGGCCGTAGCTACGTCCGTTCGGTTCCGTTCTTGCTCTCTCGGTAATGTCGGTGTCGGCGTGACAAAGCAGAAGTGGGTGGACAGAATGAGTGGAGCGCGGTCCAAAATGTGGCTCCTTCTCGCAGGACGTCGAGGACGAGGACAAGGACGAGGACGAGGGTGAAAGGGGGGTGTTCTAGGGACTAGCGCGAGGGCGGATCAATACAATCGCTAATCCGGTGCATTGTGAGGCAAGGCGTGGCGTAGCAAAGAGGCGAGGTGAGGCGGTGGTGGTCTTGCTTGCCTTCTCATCCCCCGCGTCTCAACCACCGGTTTCAACCCTCTCCACCTACTACCGCACTCTCTCTATCTCTTTCTCTCTCGCCCTTCCATTCCATCCGCCTCCTGCCGTCTCCCTATGTTTCGACCCCTCGACGAGCCTGCCTCTGCCTTCTTCCTTCGTAGCCGTTCCCGTTCGGCCCACCCGCGCCCCTACAACGTCCGTTGCCTTCCACCGTCTTGCCGCACTTCCGTTTCCAACCCTTAACCTAGCTGTCGACGAACCAACAACCCCCTTGGCGAGCTACGCTCCACGATCACCCGTCAGCTACGAAAATGTAACTTACGCCGTGGAAGTAAATTCGTCTTTCAACCAGCTGCTCCTTTCTTCCTCTTCTTTCTTACGTTACTTTTTTTTTCCCCCCTCGGCCGTTACTTCCTTTTCGTCTATCTACCCATTACGTACGCGCGGCCGACCCGACTTTGTTCTCCGCGGGCACTGGCCAACGAAATCGACGGTAAGAGGATTGCGATGAATTAGAGCAATGAGGGATTTCGGTCGCCCCCGAATGTAATTCTTTCGATGGCGGTCCCTTTCAAACTAGCTCCGTCGAAATTACGTCCGCCAGATATTGGATTAGATCCTTTCTTTTTTCCCTCCCTCGTACGTTTCGAGTTGAACGCATCGATAAACGTACAAAATAACACGATCTATGATAAGATCTTGAAAGGAAATGAAAGTCGTTTGGTAAACGAACGAGCGTCGATCTTGAGAAATGTCAGAAGTTTGCCGGAGCGTCAAATTCCATGGACCACGGATGCGCCGCGTGGACCGCGGACGATACTATCCCCCCTGCATCCTTCCACTCTTAAGCGGGGATGGACCCAAACAAACTCGTTCGCGAACACCCGAAACTGTGTTACTAGAATAAACTCCGTTCACAAAAGCAATTTACCGGTCGCCCGCGAACTCTCTCGCGTAGGCGCTCTTGCGCGCGTACGTTCACACAGCGCGCCAGGAAACGTGTGCAACTCCTATTTGCGGTGCATCAAGATAATAAAGAATATTAATGGACTGAAACAGGCCGAAGCTGCCACGGACACTTGCAATATCTCAGACGTTTCTACATACTCGCTTTTAATTAATCATTTAACAATTACGCCAGACCAAAATCGCGCAATGCATCAACTTGAGACGTCGTGTAATTAAATAAATGACGAAAGCATAAATCGCTTTTTAATATTCGCATAACGTACATCGATTCATCGTAACGAGAACAGCATTTTGCGTTATTGTCACGGGCAATGTATTCGCGAATACTCATCGTTCCACACCTCCCATTTGCGAAACTGTATTTCCTATAATCTGCGAGCAATCACTTGATAATTGGCTCTGCTATTTGCACGTGTATCCGTCGACGTGGCACGTCCTCAGACGGCTACTCGATTCGAACCGATGGAAACCGAAGAAGTATCGTTAAATGAAAAACGAATTCGATGAACAATTGCACATAGTGTCTCTGAACGACTCTGTACGATACGATCGTTCGTCCGACACTCGTTCGGTTGTAACAAGTTGCGAAAGAGATCGATTACTTGTGCGTTAATTTTTGTATCGCGGAAACACGAACGATCCGTCTACGTTGACAGGCATCGCACCGATTGATTTACAATGAGCAAAGGTGCGGCGGAATCCGACACCGATATCATGCCCAATGGCCGCGGACAATTATCCTGGTGGACAAAAGCTACGGGGGTGTACGCGGCAATCCCACACGGTGCAACGTTCTTTACGCAGCTGACGCGGCGTAGAGTCGTATTAAGGAGGGAATCGCGTGGGCACGCAATAACACGCGCGTGGGCAAACACCCGCACGCAACTTCTTCGTCGCGCGCTGAAAAACTCGAACGTTTCTCCTCGGGCCAGAGGAGGTGCAAGGACCTCCCGATATTTATCTGCCATTGAAAACTGTACGCTCTCGTCTTCCCGCCTCGGGACGAAACTTACGAGACCCGCTCGTCACCTCCTACTCTAACAAGACCGTCGCCTTCCCTTATGTTACACGATTCATGCAGGAAACGTTGCAGTAATTTTCAAGGAATAACTTCGTATTATAAGAATTTTTTATAGTAACAGAAAATTCAAAATTGAGAAACCGAACGACTTGTTTTTATATGAGAGACTTTCTGTCAATATGAATTTTGTTATAAATCGATTGATTCCTAAAAATGTATCGGTCCTGTATAAACATGAGACGGTGACCATTTCTGCTCGTATCGAGGGCCGCGTTTCATGTTCATAGGAGGAACTCGAAATTGGAAAACGGCCGGTCCAGAAGCAGCGAAATTAATTGAAGTCTGAGTGGCCGCCGATGAAGGGGCCGAGGCATCGGACGGAAAGAGGTAAATCCGAAAGCAGGATGGAAACAGATGGGGACCGACAGAGGGAAAGAGCACTCCGATGAGAAACAGGCCGTCTGTATTGCGAGCGAGACGGAAAAAGGGAGGACCGATTGCGGAACTTGGCGCAGACATGGTGTTCCCTACTGGAACCGGGTCGTCTAGCCAATACTCACTTTCTAAGTGTACCTCTACAAACCTGAGTGGGTCATCAAAAACGACCGAACAGCAATTATTTAATTTAATTTTTTACTATATACGATTTCTGCAAATTATTGACAAATCAGCTTTCCTAATACTTCGTCTCATTAAATTATAAATAAGATTTTTCACAATCTCATGATTTTAATTTTAATCTGCATTCAATATTCGGTCTAGAAACATGATAATTATTTGAACATGAATAGGAGTCTTTATATAGATAAATCGAAATTCATGTTCAATGGAATGCCACTAGTGCTTATAGAAAGCTGGAAATTCACTTAATAAATTACAGTCATTAAAGTTAATAAGTTAACTCTGCACGTATACTTGAAGAGTTTGAAAGCTCCGAAAGGACATGGTGGCGCCATTTAACTACGAAGAAGTGAAACTAGAAGACCTCGGTGGAACCAAGAGTATTTCAATCTCCAATGGTTCAATCCTTAATAACAACTTTGAATCAAAGTTAAAAGTAGCATAACTGTTCTCGATTCTTTGCAATCTGTTGCAATTTTGAAATTATGAAATATTATTTTACAACTGATATTCCGTAATAAACTCATTATAAATAAACACTATTTGTTTATTTAAGTTACTCTGCAGTATTCTTTAGACATTTTATTTGAGATCTTGTACCTTAAAATCGATACGTTAAAAGCTAACACATTTGAAACATATCATCGTTTCCAATTCCGCTTATTGTTGGAATTGTTAAAGACTGAGATATTTTAGAGAAAATTCGAAGCACGTACCTTTCTGTATTCCCAATTCTGTCTGCACTTGAATTTGGAAGAGTATTCATTCCCACGTTCCACGCACATATCACTCACTGGTATTCAGAGTTGTTGTTTATTCTTAAGATCGTTTTAAGCATCTGTTTAAGTCCCTGTTTCCTGTACAAGATAGGGACTGGAAAATGGGATAGATAGGGATAGCAAATACTTAAGACGATCTTAAGAATAAACAACGACACTGAATACCGGTCACCGACATTTAATTTTAATTTTACTGCCTGAAACGTCGTCCAGAAGATGCTGCCATCAGTGTAGAGAATTCGTACCTACTACGTATTTCTTGAGCCGAACTTCAGTCAGTCCTTCTGCACAGAAGGCATCACAGCGAAGAGGGAGTGTATAATTTTAACCACATAGCACATGGTTAATAAATATAATAATAGTTTATAAAAATAGTATTTCTATTTAAAATAAGATTTGCGTTATAAAATCTGACATTTAAACGAGCATTTCAATTAGAATTTAGTTTAAATGGAACGAGATATCGAATCCGGCTTCTACTGTGAGGTTAACTAAACGTGCGCGAAACATTAATACTACATTAAATTCTTTAAATCTTGTCAAATATACAGAGTTCGTAATATTTCGATATAGTGTAGAATTTGTTTAATTTCCCTGAAACGAGAAACAAATTGAAATTCCTGTTACAATTTGTAGGATGCACGTTCACTCACTGCATTAAAGAGATCGTGAAATGGGGAAAGCTTATTCTCTTCTGCTACGCCCTTTTCGTAATTTCAATGTCGAGAGTCGAGCGCAACGCATCATTTCACAAGATAAGCCGACGCCTGCTCCTCACCATCCCTCGGTGCAGAAACAAAAAGCGATCGTAGAAAAATGTAAGCTGTCGTTTGTTTCGCTGACCGTTCGTCAGCTCACAAATTGAACAATTCCAAAATGCCACACGATCAATTGCCTCGTGTTACATAATAGTAACTTCGGTTTCAGTGGAACCCGATTTCTTCGAGATTCATAACAAAAAAGATCCCCACTTGGACGATCGCTTAAAGAGCGTCTTCGTTCAGTCGGCTGATCCTCAGGTATATTCAATTGAAAACGAATGATTGATCACAGTCGATCCGTTTATTGTTAATTAAATTTGTCGTCAGGATGAGCCTAGTGAAGTTCTGACTTCGACCAGACCACTGCCACAAAACAGGAGTCGACCACCCCCGAACTTGTACAATGGCATGTACGATCATAAAACACCGTCAAGCGCAGCTGGGAAATGTTCTCTGAAAAACGCGATCCAGTTTATAAACAACCATCAGCAAGACCCTGAGAAGTACACCATCGAAAATATATCGCAAACGTACAAGCTAGATAAAAAAGTAGTAGGTAAATATACGTCACAGGAAACGATGATATGATCCCTTGAATATTCTTTTAATCACTTTCTTATTCATCCAATACATTTGTTTCAGAGGACATTATAACGAATTTTAAGCTCTTCCAATCGATGGATTCTAAACTTGATCCATTCAAGCCGAATATAGAATAATTTTGTACACCGTGATTGTAAAAATATGTATATAGTATAAATAATAATCAAAATACAATGCTAACATCTTTATTTCGTTCCGCTACAATAAATTACGCATATTTACAAAATACAATCATACAAATTCCACCACCAACATTTACTGTCTTACCATTTTTCGAACATTCTATTATAATGGTGGAACGAAACGTTCAGAGTTGGCAGTAAGGTACAAAATAATTTTAACAATTATTAACAGTTCGCCAGTTACGTATATCGTTATTAAACTGTATTTTATTCACTAAACTTTTACGAATCTATGTACACAGTCTTCCGGTTATGCATTAACTCCATACATTTGGAAAACCTAGAATAGTAAAAGATTCTTTTTACCCAGAGCACATTCGATCAATTTTATATAACTTACTGAACAGAGTGTGGTAGATGGAAATTATGAAAATTAAACAATGAAATCGTTTGAACATGGTTGTCGAATGAGAAGCGGTGAACGGTCCTTCATCGACCGGGTTTACTTCTGGAATGGTTGCAGTTTTCGTCCTCATCCAGTCAAATGCGTCCATTTTTAATCTCCTTTTCAATTCCGCTCCTACCTCATTTCTAATTCGACGATTATAATTGTTTAACCATCGTATCTGTTAAAATTTATTGGAACAGATAATTTATAGAGCTTCATCAAATTAAATAAAGTAATTAAATGATTGAACTCACGTGAGCGGGGGTCAACATTTTAATATCAATTAACTTTGGCTCGTACGGTACCAGCGTGACATCCCTGAACTTTAAAAAAGTCTCCGAGGTCTTCTGAAAAATGAAATACATTTTTATTACAAATTTGCCTAGTGAATAATCGATGTAATCAAATCACACACATCAGTGAAATCAGATGTGCCGGCTTCCACCGTTTCGATGATGTTCTCTAAACGGACGCCGAAGTCCCCTTCTTTGTAATAACCCGGTTCGTTTGATAAAAAGAATCCTGGTTTAAATTCGACCGGTCCGCAAACAGTGTCCGACGACGCGGTCTGCGCGTACGACACAGCAATAGGCGCTAAATTATGATTATCGTAAGAAACCATTACTTGAAGAATATACATTAATTGTTAATTAATGCTCATGCATTAATAATTCGTTCATACGAATTTGGAATATTCTATGATTTTGTTCAAAATAATGAGACAAACATTCGTGGACAGACAGGAAGTGACCGATTCCATGGCCAGTCCCGTGCAAGTAGTCGTAACCAATATTCCACAACGGCGTCCTCGCGACGACGTCCAGCTGGTTCGACTGTAAATTGCTTGGGAAGATTAACGAAGCCAGTTGTATCGAACCGATCAACACCCTCGTGTACGCTTTCTTGTGCTCTTCCGTTGGCACACCGAAATGCAACGTCCTCGTGACATCAGTCGTTCCATCTGTTAAAATCGATTTTAATCTGGTACCGTGAATAATTTATTTTGCATGAGAATTTGTAGTCTACTTATTAATAAAACAAACCTTCGAACTCTTACCTAAATACTGTCCTCCGGAGTCTACGACCAACGTAGACGCTCTTCCAATTTTACTATTCGTCATATTGTTAGGCTCGTAATGAGGAATCGCTGCGTGAGGTCCGTACCCGACGATCGTAGGGAACGAGATGCCTTTATTGTAATCCTGTTCGTAACGAAATTCGTTCGCCAATCTGACTACCTGCATTTCGTCCCACTCATCGGGGTTCATATCGTATTCCCGTTCGAGGTATGCTAAAAAATCGCACATAGCTACGGCATCCCTTAAATGCGATCTCCTCATCCCTTCGGCTTCTATCTCGTTCTTCTGCGCTCGTAAACTCAGTACAGGCGACGGGTTCGGAAATCGTTTCTTAGGGGGAATCTGTGAAGATATATAATAAATGACCGAATTTCTGTTCACGTTGGCTTATAGAAAAAAGCGCGAATAAAAATTGTGACATTTATTAATTTTCATACTTTTGTACAAAATGAAAAATTGCTGTAGGAACTAGGAACGACACAAGTGAAAAATGCTAGTAATTTGGAAAATAATTTTGTAGATAATTTAAACGTGATTGCGCTGTAGTTTGAGTGCGGGTAAGGGAATTGCTCCCTGATTTCCGATGCCGCGGGCGTCCAGGCGTCCCGAAGCACCGGCTAACATGTCCGCGAGAAGGTGAAACGGTTTGCCATCGTGGTTACTGGAGAACGCGTTCGCGTTTAACCCTATCACTTAATGCACGCATACTGTATCCTCGGGAACAAAGTGCAACAATGAGTACATCGCGTGTCTATGCATTGAATGAGGGCGAGAAGCGAGAAGCGTTCGGGTCTATGAAGGTGTGTCAGCTCGTCACGTGGGGATCAAGCTAAGCTCAACAAACTCTACGAGGACAGGAGAACATGCCTGGCAAGATGTGCTCTTGCCTAGGATTATCCACTCTCTAATACTTCGTATAAACGCCGATATACACACTAGACTAGTATCAGTACCATGAAACGTGTTCCCCCGCTTAAAACACGATTCGATTCTATTTTCATGTAAATTTATTGTTGCATATTCAGTTAGATACGTACACAGTTAAATATTTCCATGGACGCACCCGGGCTGTAACTGCATTCCGTTGGTAGCCACACCAGCTTCCAAACTTGAGACATCGTCCGTAAATCGTACCAGATAGACGTGTAATTATGCCATCTGTAACCATGTTATCTACGTATATAATAAAATATATCGAGTTACAAAAGAAAACACAAATTTAAATCATACATCGTTGCCTGTTTATTTACGAAAGGGAAATTTCTTTATAATAAATCGAACTTACCGGACGCAATTTGCATTCGAGCAGAAATGCATCTTTAAATGCTGCTGGACGGATCCGAGGATTTTCTGTTCAGGCGTGTACAGGTGTATCGATTCCTCGGTGATGATAGTGTACGCCCTGAGGACAGGCGTGTGAGGTAGATCGTAGCCACGGATGTTGAACAACCAGGCTATCTCGTCCAGAGCTGTGATTACGAGCGCGTCGGTTCGATACAATCCCATTTCCCTGCGAATCGCCTGGACCTTGTCTTGCCAGGCCCTTCCGGAATACTTATATGGCAAAGGATATGCAGGGTAAGAGTTGTAATTTGGCCGGTCGATCTGCCAGATCAGGTCCACCAGATTGTTGTGCACGGGAACCAGTTTTACAGACGAGTTCGCTGAACAGGAACGCTATTGTTAAATTCACTCCCTGGGCTCAGAGCTACTTTATTTTTATTTCTCAAAATCTCATAGAAATGTCATAATCGATGATAATAAATTGCAATTAAATGAAATTTAAAATCAACGCTGTATAGCTTCTGATGTATTGCGTGTTAAGTGATTTATTTAGACAGATATATGGCTGATATTTCAAACTATCATATTTACACTACCTAAGTCATAATTCCAACTTCCCCAACTGTTGGAAGATACAAGCGTTGGATCGGCGCCAATGCGTACGTTAGATTCGTTTTGAAATTCATGCTCCAACCATTCTGTCAGACTAGGAACCTGCATCAGAGTGTTGATAGAATAATATAAAATAATTAAGTGCGAATTATAAGTATACGAGACAGACAAGAGAGCTAAACTATTACAACTTGGTCTGTCTGCACGTGTTAACACAGTAACTACTTCTGTTCTCCTTATAAGCGAATGCAAAACATTACTTGATTATTCTCTCAATTTCAATGCTATAAGGAAATATTTTATTTTTGATAATGATTAAAAAGACCACTCAGAAAGCTCCACTTCCCATTCCCCTCGCACTGAGTGCAAGGGGTGAACGATCATCGATGACTGGGAAATTAAGCAAAGTTAACTTCCCAAGTCGTCCTCACGCTCAGGGAAAGGAGCCACGTCTCGTCATCGTGGCTGCATCGACTCTAATTTATGGATTAGAGAAGGCAAGATCAACTACAGAAGTGATCCTGTGAAGTATGATCTTAATTTTCCTCTGCCGCCACTGCCTTTATATCGTAGTTAGCTTGTGATACTGGCAGCGAGAGAGGCACTCAACTCTCTTGCCCTCTAGTGGCAGTATCTCTCTGTCAGTGGGACTCTGCCTTTCAAATCATCATGATGTAAAATGCAAATCATTACTAATATGCAATTCACTTTTTAATAATAATTTCGTATTGCGACACTTAAGAAATTGTAGATATTATTTTTTTTTAATATTATTCTTCTAAAATTAAATATGCTAATGAGATGCGCGCGATTAGACAAATTACAATAAATTGTTATTTAACAATTTTATCAATAAATTGTAGAATTTATTATATAGAGATTATTTTGTACTTACGTCCTTCCTACCGCGTTTCATAAGAATCCAATTGCAATCAAGCTGATGATCAGCCTGAATGTGGTATCTCCCGTCCGTCCAGAGCACAGCCTTGTTTTTAGTGATAAGAGCCTCGCCTGCGCTTCCGTAAAATCCGGTGATATATTCTCTCCTCATATCGTGAGGATCCAGGGTATCACTCTGATCGAAATAAGAAACGAAAGTCAAATCTGATTGTTCCAATATCATCCCTTATCAAAGATTAAATAGGCATTTGATTTGATTGAATACGCTATATAAGGGGACAACACTTTCACTCGCAATCAGGAAGCAACGCAAATCAGAGGAAGTTTCGATAGATCTAGGGAAACGGGTGAACTGATTGCTCTTAATTACTTTTGTTAAATTAGTGACGAGATTATGGCAAGCTTTAGAACTCGGCAAATCTCACGCTGTATAGTATACCTCCACGGGGGCCTTGTGGCCGTAAATGTTTCGTGTCTGAAAATTTAATGATATCCAACAGAAATACATGAGTAAACTTGAAGTAAAATTTACTTAAAGCCTATCCAAGAAATCGTAATTATAAAATATATTCCTACAATCTTCACTATCATTTCCATATCTCTTTGCATCTCATTAGTATAATTACCTGATGCGCATCGTCCGAAGTGACTAAGTATCCATCAAGAGCTGGTCCTTGAACAGAAGTGGTCCGACTCATCTCAGACCTCAGTTGTCTCAATCTCATCGTCGTGTCTTGCCTGTTCGCCGGTTGTCTGTGAACCGTTGCTGGACAGTGGGACCTCTTGGCGCCATTATAACTCTTCGGACTGTACGCCGCTGTGAAACCTACAAAAAAATAATCGTATACATATAAAATATTATTCATATATGATTCTTAAATTAAAAAAATAATTGAAACACCTTCTGGAGGCGCCGGGTATCGATCCCGGTACCTCTCGCATGCTAAGCGAGCGCTCTACCATCTGAGCTACGCCCCCGTGTTGAAAACGATAGTTCCATAAAATCGTATATAAATAAAAATTGAACCTTCAATAAATTTAACAATAATTTCATTATATATACCAGTACTATATGTGTATTTTTTTAAGCAGTGACTAATAATATTAGTGCTGTTTGATTCTCAACTGCATTGACTATATTCGAGAAGATCAAGTAGGTCTTCGAGTTCATCGATCTGCACATGTATAAAAAGGGACAAGGAAGGACCGTGGAAAGGTACACGCATGTCTTGTGGAAATCCAGAGGGTGTGCTGAGTGGTGCTCACACAGCAGGCAACCAGATCATACGAGGAGGTCAGCGAATTCGAAATCCGCGATTCGATTGCCTCGCTATTGACCCTTCCCACGTTTCATCACTTCACTTAATCAAACCCACCCAGTTTTAATTATTTAAATCGCATTAATTATATAATAATATCCAATCTACCGAAATTTAATTGCTTTTATAATAAATTCCTGTTTGCATGACAAATACGAAACTGCAGGATACAGGGAAAATCAATAGACAACGGAGGCCAGAAATTCTGTGGGAAAGACACTGTCTAAGACTAGTCACGTAAAGAGGGGTAAAAGAGGGGCAACACGGTTAACAAATTGTTTAATTTAATAATTTAACGTAAATATCAAGTAATATTAAATATGTTACTAGGAAAGTAGGAACGCGTTGCAGGTCGGTTTTACCCCGGTGTAACTTTACAATTTTCACCTCCCCGCGGGAGTTTTCCACCCTGCGGGTCCAACGCGACATGCTAGCGCGGTTTTGCGTTCTGTCCACGCTCGAGCCCGATTCAGCTGCCCACTCCCATCAGGCTAACGAGCAAGACACATTTTATTTACCCTCGGATCCGGATTTCGAATTGTTTTCTCATTCTAGCCATGAGGTAAAAATCTAATGTGAAATAAATGATTTTGAAGTCACGGATTTGAACAATCCAGCTGTCTCGTCTAGAGCTGTGATAACGAGACAGAGATAGAGCAAAAATGAAAGATTTAAAGTAATATAAAAACATTAAGTCGGATTATTCTACTTCATTTGGAATTTCGCCGGTCTCCCGAGTCGTCTATCGTTCGTACGCATGCACTGCCTCGTGCGCGGCCACGCAACCGTGACTATATAATTGCCCTTTTGTAAAACGCAACGTGATTTGCTTACAGAAACGAAAAATACTTGGACAGGCTCGTATAACAATTCCGTTCGGTAACTCCGGAAGAGATTCCGCTCATAATAGATCACGATTTTTCTGCAAATAAGATAAACTCAGGATGTTCTGGACTGTAGCTATCCGAAAGATCATAACCGCGCGATTACTATGATTGCCGGACTCGTGGACGATCATTCGCCATACTTGTGTCATGATCACGTTCGCATATTGTTTACATAATCAAGCTTTTCGCGGCCTGTACTTTTGGTAACGCTGATTGCACGTCTCCCGTCGTCTATAAAAGCGACGTTATCGTCGCGGGAACGGTCACAGATACAAAATGCGGTTGTTTAGTCTCTTAATTTATGGATTCGCGGTGGTCTGTGCGCAGGCCGAGCAGGACGTGCAATTGGAGATTCCTCAGGGCATCCTTAAAGGGTTAAAGACTGAGACCGTGCTTCATAACAAGCCTTACTACAGTTTCAGAGGTATCCCGTACACCAAACCGAATGTCGGACCCAACAGGTTTGAAGTAAGAATATATTCTTTTTACAATTTATATAACGCAGTAATTTGCTCGTAAAATCAATTATTATCAAAGAAATTCGAAGTCGACATTCTTGAAAAGCAAGCCTCAACTGCAAAAATTGTACCCTCAATAATGAGACACTTTTTATATTTTTTAAACAATTTCTTCATTTTGTTATTTTAATAAACAGTCACCAGAGCCGGCGGAACCTTGGGAAGGTGTGTACGACGCAACCAAGTATCGTCCGCCTTGCCCGTTTTATTGCATGATCAGAAAAGGTCTAATTGGCGAAGAGGACTGTCTCTATTTAAACGTTTACACACCGGTTCTCGATAAAGAAGCTCATAAACCTGTTATGTTGTGGATTCATCCTGGTGGCTGGAACGGCGGCATAGCAGACGATACCATGTTCGGGCCAGATTTCTTAGTAGAAGACGACGTGGTGGTTGTTACTTTTAGTTACAGGTTTGGTGCACTTGGTACGTTAACGCCAAAGAGAACGTTTTATAATAAATTTTACGAATCTGCTAGTTTAAAATTTGGTGTAGATTACAATCAAAAAAATCTATAATATATTAAATATCTCGATTCTGCTCACCTCACTGGCTTAAGATTAAAATCGTAGGAAAAAGAACCAGTGAGTGGAAAACGTGCGACGAGCACAGAAATTGAGACGTTCACTATGTCTATTTTGAATCGCAGGGTATTTGAACACGGGAGACAAAAGTGCGCCGGGAAACGCTGGGATGAAAGATCAAGTGATGGCACTGAAATGGCTGAAGGATAATATTCATTATTTCGGTGGTTCTCCGAGCAGAGTCACTATTTTCGGTGCAAGCTCAGGCGCTGCTTCTGCCCTGTATCATATGGTGTCTCCCATGTCTGAAGGTAAAGCGTAAACTGACTTTCCATTATAAAAATATACAATTTATAAAATTCCGACGAGATGAACAATTATTTTTTAATCTGCTATGAGTGTAATAATATTTTTAATCCAGGTCTGTTCAATTCTGTCATACTACAAAGTGGAACAATGCTTAATCCGTGGGCGATGACGTACAATCCAAGGGAACAAGCTTTCATGCTAGGCGAGGCCCTCGGTATACATACTACGGATTCCGCGGAATTAGTACAAAAATTGACCGAATTCGACGTGAAAGATATTATCACGGCTACTACGGAAATAACTCAGAAACAGGTATAGTAAATATATTTTGTTTTTGCCGAATAAATGTGAAATAAATTGACGTTCGAATTATAGAATGGGTTGAACGGACACATGAACGTTTTCGTGCCGAGCGTGGAGGTAGACTTGGGACAGGACGTGTTTTTGTCGAACGATCCTTGGACGTTGTTGAAATCTGGAAAAATAGCGGATGTGCCTGTAATTTCTGGTGTCAATGCCGATGAGTGCGCATTTTTCGCACCATGTGCGTAAGCAATGTTCACCGAGTCATACTCGAAATTACAGATCCACTGATTATCTAATAGAGTGATGAGTAATCAAACCTCTGCAAATATCATTTAATCAATTAAATTCTTATTTAGCTGACTTGCAATTTTACTGATAAAATAATATTATACACATGAATTTCTCCTATTTCATTTATTCAATATTTATATTATAGTATTAATCGACGCTATTGAAATACTGAATTCGGAACCGGAGCAATTTTTGCCAGACGATTTGAATTACACTAGCGCAGATGCGAGAAAGGAGGCTGGACAAAACTTGAAGAAATTCTACTTTGGGGACAAACAAGTCTCCAAGGAGGATCTAAACGAATATACCAAAGTAATTTCTATGAAGAATTAATATCAGAACGTTATAGTTAATTCGCTTATGCTTTACAGATGTTGAGCGACGTGTACTTTAATGCTGGGGAGCTGTTGTCACTCGATATCATGAAAAATCGAATGTCGTCCCCTATTTATCAATATATGTTCACCTTCGATTCACCGACTGGTTTCATGAAAAATCTGTTCGGTGTTCGCGACGGTAATTTATAATTAATTTACGAACGATATCTCATTGCTTATTAATATTCAATATATTATTTGCTTGTATTGAACAGGAGTTGCACACGGCGACGAGTTGGGCTACTTGTTTTATTCCAATGCCTTTAAGAATCTGCCAGAACCGGGATCCAACACAGCGAAAATGACAAACATTTTTACTAAACTTTGGACGAATTTTGCTAAAGACCAGTTCGTAATTTCGTTCGTATTTAAATCATTTGTTATTAGAAAACTTAATTAAAATGTTCTCTGGTTTTGTTGATAGAAATCCAACGTCGCACCTGGACGAAGATATCACAGTGACTTGGGAACCAATGGGGAACGAGAATAATTATCTTAATATCAACCAGGCACTGAAGATGGAGAAGAATCTGATGAGGGATAAGCATGATTACTGGAAGATGATATACAAAGACATTATGCCCTGATTTCTCCTATGCACATACTATTATCAGTATTCATAGATAATTGGTTTAAGTGATAAACACGTAATTGTATAAAATTATAAAATATAATCTCGTTACTTCAAAACGTTCAGATTTCTTTCCTCGACTATGTGTATCTTAATTTTAACGAGATTCGATTTATTATTTAATCATCTGTTTTTATACTCTACTTTTCTACAAATGTACAAGACTGAAGGTTTGAATTCGAATCGTTGGCCGCGAGATACGTACAGCGAACTTTGGCACGCCGGAGACAGCCTCGGCAAAACTGGCTATGCTAATTCGTGGCACCAACACATTTAAATCGGCATTATCATCAAGCCCGTGCTGCTTCCTACTTTCCATTCACCGGACACCGTTCTTCTCGTTTCGCCTCGTTCTTGGCTATTGGTTCACCACTCGCATTCCTGTCCTGCTAGCACCAGGCTTGCATACTCTCGCGGGAGGTCGTGGCCGCCGAACCACCGACCGTCCGTCCGAGCGAAACTGGCTATGGATCACCGGGTTCGAGAAATCAGCGGCGCGAAGACGCGAAAGAAGAGGGAAACGAGTGGCCATCTTAAAACTAGAGGTGACCAAAACGTCATTCGCTTTCTTAGTCGTTACCGTGTTGCCGTCGTTCGTCTACCATTTGTTCACCACTCACTTTTGTGCTTCGTCGGTGACAGGCTTGCAGCTAGATAGAAGAGGCTCCCACGTTCTGTTCGCCAAGTGACCGCGTAACGTAAAACCATTCATGAAACATGAATGGAAACAAATCTTGGAATTTTCATTTCACAGGTCTTAACCAAATGATTGGGGACACTGCTTAACAACAGTGTTGATAAAATCTCGAAATATCAAAAGTTTTTTTTTTTTAATTAGAAAAACGCTTGATATAGAAGTTGTAGGCACTGTCGTGCTTTCCAAGAAAAGTTCTATGCATCTTTCTTATATAACTTCGATATTTAACGAGTTAAGTACGATTAATTGGCATTTTATGGGTATTGACAAAATCCGACTGTCCTACCCTCCAAACAGCGAACTTTTGAGAAAAAAATTTCGTTTTTCATCAATTACGTCTAAACTGTTAGACTTACAGGAAAATTGCATAGAACCTTTCTTGTAGAGGACGATTAGATCTATAATTTCCATATAGGCTCATTTTGTAGAGGACGACGAGATCTACAATTTCTGCGTAAAAAGAATTCGCTAGTGCCAATAGTTACCGAGTTATTTGCAAAAAACGAAAAACAGTTTTTTGCAAATTACTCGTAAACCACTGATGCTAGCGAGAAACTGTTAGATAGAGATTGTAGATCACGTCGTCCTCTACAAAATGGACCCACAAACGTCTCCCTAAGTCCATCTGTTTGGAAGTTATTGGCAAAAAACAGAAAAACAGTTTTTTGCAAATAACTCGGTAACTATTGGCACTAGCGAATTCTTTTTACGCAGAAATTGTAGATCTCGTCGTCC